CAATAGAGGCTGCAAATAAAAATATCAAAAGGATGATGAAAAAATTGATTGATATTTATAAAGATTGGCATGAGAAGTTACCTTTTATCTTGCATGCTTACAGAATATCAGTCCAAATATCTACTGGGGCCACCTTATTTTCGTTGGTTTATGGGATGAAAGTTGTGCTACCAATTAAAGTGGAGATTCTCTCATCGAGAGTTTTAATTAAAGTTAAGCTAGAAGAAACAGAATGGATCCAGAACCATTATGAGCAGTTAAACCTCATTGAAAAAAAAAGCTTATAACACTTTGTCACGACCAATTATATCAGAAAAAGATGATGAGAGCACATGATAAGAAAATCTGCGCTTGTTACTTTCTAGAAGGAGACTTAATGCTGAAAAGAATATTTCCAAATCAACATGACAATCAAGAAAAATGAACACCAAATAAAAAAAATCCATATTTGATGAAGAAAGCTTTTTCAATTGAGGCATTGATTTGACAAAAATGGATGGAAATGATTTGCCTAATCTGATAAATTCAAACACTGTGAAAAGATATTTTACTTAAAAAAAAAAAAAAATGAGGATGCATCTAAATTGAAAACCTAAAAGACGACTTAGATATAAAAGAGATACAACATCTGAGATAACTTCACAACACAAGGGCAAACATGGTTTGATAAGCTCTGAAGGATCAAGGATGTCACTTGGTTGAGTTTCAAAAACAAAATCTAGGAATAACTTGTTCATGATTATCTTGTAATCATTCTTTGGGTGCTTTTGTTTCCACCTAAACACTTTTATACTTTTGTCATCTGTTGGATGAAATGTGTTCCCTCTTCTTTACAAAATAAAAATAATACATATCCTTTATCTCATTTGCTATCCTTGTCCACCCTACAAATGAATAGAAGAAATGTGTAATATATTTTATTTGTTTTGAACTTAAAACGATGAAAAACTAACTAATTATATGAAAGATCCTAGTGTTACTTTTTAAAAAGTTGATAAAGTAGGTATAAAATGATAACGAAAGCATGGCAAGACATTGGTATTGTAAACTTCTAGAAAAAAGAAAGAATATTGTTGAAAAAATACAATAATTAGATGTCAAGGATAATTTGATCTTACGATAATTGTTAAGAATTTTGATAGCCAAAGTAGAAGAAGTGAGAGATTTTAAGAACCTTTACCATAATTGAAAATGAATAATTTGATTGCATTACATGCATTGCATTTAAAGCATTTGGTACATGCCTCCATGAAAGGTTAAGATCACAAGTTGTAGTAAGAACAAATATTTTTCATTCTCTAATGAAAAATAGATTTTTGGCCTTTGTAAAAAGATAACGATCCAATATAAGACTTCAATCTTCAAAAGAGAGAAATTTGCTTTTTCAAAGATGAGATTTCAGTTTCAAGAATATTTTAAATCTTATAAAGTTGTGGAGCCTCTGCTTAGAGAAGCTTTTGAAAGTTATTAAGCTTTTGCTTAGAGGAGCATTCATTATCAAGATTCATAAGTCCTCTGAGTATAATATTTTAAATCTTTCAAAGTTATGGAGCCTTTGCTTAGAGGAGTTTTTTAAAGTTGTTGAATCTCTGCTTAGAGGAACATTTTAAATCTTTTAAAGTTGCCAAGCCTTTACTTAGAGAAGTCTTTTAAATTTTTAAAACTATTGAGCCTCTACCTAAAGGAGTCTTTTAAATTTTTAAAGTTGTTGAGCTTCTGCTTAGAGAAGTTTTTCAAGTTGTTGAGCCTTTGCTTAGATGAGCCTTTTAAATATTTTAAAGTCGTCGAGCCTCTACTTAGAGGTGTTTTTAAAATTTTCAAAGTTGTTGAGTCTCTACTTAGAAAAGTCTTTAAAATCTTTTAAAGTTGTTGAGCCTCTACTTATAGGAGCTTTTTTTTGTTTGGTCCTAGAGTCTTTAGTGCATTAAATGCACTGTCAAACTCTGTAGTAAAATTTTCAAAAGTTGAATTTTAGTGAAAGAAGTCATTGGTGGTCACCATTTTTTCCTCTCTAAGTACCATTTTTTTTTCTTGAAATCTCATATTATCAACTTCAAATCTTAAAAAATCTAGGATTTGATCTTTCAGAGGTTCTTTAAATAGAGCATCCTACCAATATCAAAACGGGAACTCAAAAAAAAAAAAAAAAAAAGAAGGAGGATAACCTAAGAAAAAAATGCGTTATGTAAAAAAAAAAACTAAAAAAAGAAGAGAACCCATTAAAAAAAAGCTTTGCTAGTTAAAAAAAAAAACCTCTGGTAAAAACCCAAAAGCCAAAAATAAATTTTCTAGCCTACTAGAAAACCAAAATCAAACACAACAAAAAGACCATAGCTCTTTGTAATAAGGATCTCAACGTAAAAAAAAAAAAAACAAAATAAAAAAAATATTGGTTAGAATTTCAAAGTTTGATATATACTGATTGAGATTTTATTTTACAAAACACAGGACAGATTTGTGTTTAGGGAGGCAAAATGAGTCAATAGGAGTCAAAAAGGATGAAACGACGTTGTTTTAAGTAAGGAGGATCAGTACATGACCTATGACTTGACTCGGTATCCACACATCTGACCTGCCACTTGCTCCCTTACTGACTTTGACTGGTCCATCCGAACTGGTGTTGGACCGCCACTAAATCGCTTGCTTTGACTAGCATTTACTAGAGCTAATCAGCGTTGACTTGCAGTTGACTAGCGAAAAATAGGTATTTTTTATTTTTTATTCTATTTTTAATTTTTGTATTATTTTAGTATTTTAATTTATAATTTAAGATACGTTAAAATAAATATAATAATAAAAAATAAAATAATAAATATGAAATTTAGAATAATGAATGAATAAAAATAAGTAAAATATTATAAAATAACTATAAAATCACAAGTGATGATTTTATTAAAAATACTTGCATGAGAAAATTTTCTAAAATATTTTAAGAGTCTTAGAAATATTTAAAAAATTTTCAAGCATAAAAAAAAAAACAAACATCATTAATAAAAATAAAGTCATAAGTGGTGATTTTATTAAAAAAATATTTACACAAAGAAATTTTTTAAAATATTTTAAAAGTGTTAGAAATATTTTAGAAAATTTCAAACATAAAAACAAAATATTATTAATAACTATAAAATCACAAGTGGTGGTTTTATTTAAAATATTTACATAAAGAAGTTTTCTAAAATATTCTAAAAGTATTAGAAGTGTTTTAGAATATTTTTTTTAAAAAAAAAACATTATTACTAAAAAATAAAATCACCAATGGTGATTTTATTACAAATATTTCCACAAAGAAATTTTTTAAAATATTCCAAAAAAGTTAGAAATATTTTATAATTTTTCAAGAAAAACATTATTAATAAAAAATAAAGTCACAAGTAGTGATTTTATCGAAATTTCTTAGGCAAGGTATTTTTCTCAAAATAGTTTGAAAATGTTAGAAATATTTCAGGAATTTAACCAATAAATTTTTTTTTATCTCAATAATAAAAGAAACAATAAATAAATGTTTCAAAGTAAATTAAAATTTTCATTGATAATAAAATTAAGAGGGAATCACAAGTAGTGAATTTTCTCCAAATTTTTAAAATCATAACATAAGTGTTTGTATAAGGAAATTATAATCAACTTCAAGTTTAAAATATTAAAATAAATCTGAGGATAGAGTTTTTTTCAAAGAAATAAGTAATTTCTTTGAATACTCTTTAAGTGAGAAAATTTCTTAAATTATATCAAAAGTGCCAAAAATAATTTAAAAAAATTTTAATATTCAAATAATAAAAATAAAAAATAAGAATGATAAAGTAATAAGTAAAAGACTAGTTGAACGAGATCAATCTAAGATCATATGAGATTAATTGGTACCCTCTTCGGACGGATATTTTAGAGATACTATAACATTCATCACACGTAACTGTACTCTCGAATCCAATATTGAATTTGTAGACCAAAAGATATGGTTGATGGCTAATTGCATTTTAATAAAAAAAAAATTGATGGCAAATCCTAACTTTCACATCTAACAATCGAATCCCTGGCCCAATACGTTACGACACCTTCATCCGATCTTAATATTTTTATGTTACATATTTTTTACTTTGATTTTCTCAATATGCTTAAATAGTTATTGTCATGATTGAAAACTAGAATGCTACCCCTGCTTTGCAAAGAGATTTTTTAATTTTTATAAAAAATAATTTTAATAATTTTATTTTTTTAAGTTTTTAAATTTTTTACGTTAAAAAAAAGAGTTTGAAAATATTATATTCAGAGTTTTTTATATGATTGTTTGTGTTTGCTATTAATTTTTTTGTAATTTATTAAAAAATCTTATATCCAATATTTTTAGTTTTTTAATTATATAATTTTTGTTTTTGAAAGACAACTTTAAAAAAAATTTAAATTTTAGATCTGATAACTTTTAAAGAATTTTTATTATTTTTTATGAGATTTTTTGGTTGATTTTCATGTAAGTTATTTTTTTCAATTGATTAATTTTAGTTGCATTTTTTTTATGTCTTAATATGTGATTGAAATTTAATATGTTAGTTTTAAAATTTTGAAGGTTGATTTTTTCTTTGATAAGTTAAATATATTTTTATGGATTTTTTTTTATTATTTAGGTGCTTTTTTTTTTTTTTACAAAAGCATTGGAGAGTATTATAATTGCCAATAACACATCATCTTCCCTATAATCAACTCCTATTATATTTTTTATTATAATTATAATTAAACAAATAACTTTTTTGAAAAAAAATATTTTTAATTTTAAAAATTTCTACATAATAAGTAAAGAATTTGCGGCACATTAACATATTAATCCTTCAAAAAAAATTAAAAAAAAAAAACACATAGCAAGTAATGAACTTGTCACATGTCACCATTCTATCCTTTAGGGATAGTTTTAATCTACAGGTTATAGATTTGAATTAACCAGGTACGCAGGAAAGACCTGTGGAATTTCAACGGAATTACTTCCATTCCATTTTTGCGATTTCAACATTTTTATATGCTTAGGAGCCTTCAACAAGTATGTCAAAATGTACCCCCAACATGGTGGCCATATTTTTAGCAAAACTCATTTACAGTAAAAGATAAAACAAATAGAGACGTCGACAAAATTCTAACTATTTGAACTAGTGAATCATTGTTGTTATATGCAGAAAAGGGGATTTTCAATGTACTTCTCAGTTCTCGAAAGAAATGCATGGAATTAGAATTTCAGTATTCATGAAAAACATGAAGAACTCTGTACAAGAAACCAGAGCGAGCTCGATGGTAGTGAACTAACGAGGCTAGCAAAGTTTCTGAAAGTCTACAAGGATATGCCTGTGAAAAGCCTGTTTCCAGGTTGAGCTCCTTTCTCTGTAATTGGGAATTGGGATATTACCCAGGTGGCTATAGAAGAGAATGAAAATACTCAAAACTAATCTTGTAGATTGATTCCTTAGAGCACTCATCATCTTAGCCAGTAATAAGAATAAAAAACTTGGAGCACCATATTCAAGACTTCAGAGAATATGCCATGAGGTTTCATTTTGTTATCACCTGTCTTCCGCAAAGAATTTTTTTTTTTTGTAAAGAAGCTAAAGACCATAATTCCTATCAACTTCAAAAGTTTCTCCCCTTTTCCGTTAGCTACTAGTATGCCCATCCTTTACAATATCTAGCCTCCCTTTGTCCTTGAGGATTTCACTCAATGGTTTTGGGCTCTGGAAGTCTGCTGAAGTAGTTCTGATTGAATGCCTCATTTTCCCACCGTTTTCTTCAGTTCTCCTCTTCTCTTCTTTAATCTGGGCAAGGGTCTTGGGGCCTGTAAAAGCAGTAGATGCATCTGTGGATTTCCTCTCCCTAGAAATCAGGTTTCTAGAAACTTCAGATGACACAGACTTCCGTCTAGGCAGCCTTTTTTCCCTATAAAGCCTCCTGTTGGAGCGATTAGGCCCCAAGTGCTTGAGCCAGCCATGCCGGTTGGTACCAGTATGAAAACAACCTTGGTCTCCCATTGATTCAATAGAGTGCTTCCCCACTTTTGATGCCAATCTTCCCCTTAATTTCCGACCCATACTACACCTTTGAGGCCTTTCCAAACTTCGACCTATCAGATGAGAATATTCAGACCTTCTTGACAAACAATTTAGGGGATTGCTCTCAATTACCCTGCGCTTCCTCAAATAGTCTCTAAGATCCACACCAATCTGTTCATCAGTCGACAGTTCAACAGGCAAGAGTCTTCTTCTCTTCTGGAAAAATATGGAACCCAACCTTCTATCTCTGCGGTGGGCAGGAGGATTCCTCACATTATCAAAAATATCCTCATTGTCTGAATCCTCATAAGCATTATAGACATCTCGATAATTTGGGAATTCCACATTGGGGTACCCAGTCTCATGCTGAACTGAATCTTCATAATCATAACTCAAGAAGTTCTCTCTCTGCTCCACATCAGGGGCCAGTAGATATTCTGAATCATTCTCATAATCCAAATCCTTAGATTTGTTATCCACAAGAACATCAAAACCTGGGGAGGACTCCCACCTATCCTCCGGCTCAACATGGTCATCCATTTGCTCCTCTGAACTTTCATCTGCACACAATGGGGATCTGCTTTGAGTAATGCCTTCTTTTAGAAGCAGGGAATGTGACTTGACAAAAGCTGCTTCTCCAAATTCATAAACAGACGTTTTTGGAGAGACACTCATCTGAATCATAGTTTTGGGGGCTGATTGTTGGAGATCCTCTTTAAGCTGCGCACCGATGTCCTTGCTAGAATTTGGGACAGATTTAGATGGATTGGGATTTGTTTCTGTTGCAGCTGCTACAGCATCATTTTCTATGGATTTCTTATGGTTCAAGGGAAGAACATCAGTCTGCAAAGATTTTCCAGTAATGGCACTGTCATCAAGACCATGCAGAAAAGAGCATCTGCCACCTTTATTGCAGAAACCATTGAAGTAAAAGTAACAAGGCAAATTGGTCTTGTTCACTGGTGCAGAACATTGGTATGACAATGCAGCAGATTCAGATGACACATGAGCATGCCCATCCAATGGCTGTGAAAGCAGAAGAATTTAGTTCATATGACTTCATCAAACAGCCAATCACTAATTAAAATAATTCAAGAATATCACTGATTTAAAAATGAGAAAAAATATAGTAATTACTGGGGAAAGAGGTTCATACAGTCAAAAGGCTAATGCATCAAATGGGAAATACTAAGATAGACCTTAGATATCAAGCACCAGTACCAGTTGTGAAGGTGTTTATGGCCTATCCTTTTAACAGATAATAGCTTCTAATGCTCCATGTTTAATGTTCCTAGATAGCCAAACATGATAAGAATCTAAAGCAGATAGCGGATGTATTAAAAAACTACGTCCCCATAGTTTTTGTAGATTCATGGCATGTCTAAAGGAAATACCTAAGTTTTTTAGGATTTTTTTTCTTAAAATGAATTAATGATCAAAACACTGTAAATGTACCAGTGAGTTTTGGGGTGAAGTTAGAGGAGACTGCAGTACATATATATGTTATCAAGTAATTGATCCAAATATACAATTCTATTATGGCACATTTTGAGTTGAGTCCAAGCAAAATTGTGTTCTAAAGCTGCATCTCATGATAAATTCATTCGTCAAATTTCCATAACAAGTAAAAATGAGATCCGTTCAAAATAAATCAGTCCAACAAACAATCAATATGAACATATTAAAACAGAAAATGAGCTCACAGGATGCCGAAAACCACAGGTTGGATTAAGACAGTTCCCAGCCAACCAGTACCAGCAGTCCCTCGGGTTGAGCCTAGCAATCTCACTATGTCGATACTCGCAATCGATACCCTGATTAAAAAAGCCAAACAAGAAGATAATATAAAATAAATTAAGAATGGGATCGTTCTAAAACAACAGAAAACACCAACCCATAAACCCAAACGGATTGAACAGCCAAAGCATAAAAAGAGAAGAAATAAACCCTAAAATCTCCAGATCCTTGAGATGCAGGAGCAGAAATACATCACATTCCAAAGAAAAAGAACAGAAATGGAAATTGGAAAGTGTTAAAAGAAAGAAAAAAAAAAAAAAGCTCACATTCAAAGAAGAAAAAAATATAAAATAAAAAGAAAGAGGGAAAGAGAGAGTGATTTTGGGTTAGGGTTGAAAAGAGAAACCTTCTTGCAAGTGAGAGGAGAGGCTAAGAAATAAACGCAATCGGTGTTACGTTTCAGCAATTCTTCCTCCATTTTATTTATTTATTTATGCTTTTTGGATGAAGTGCAAATGTGCCAACCAAAACTCTCTCTGCATATAGTTGAAAAAAAAGTGAAAGGGGGAGTGCTTGGCTTTACAATTTTACATGGCGAAAACTGGAAAAAGAAAGAGCCAGCCAGTGTTAACGGGACGGGACAGTCTCAGAAACTGAGAAAGAGAGGGTGGCTTTGTTAATTGTTTAGGCTCTACCTGCAATTTCAAGGTAATTTTTTTTTCTTTTTTTGAGCGGATGGTACACGTGGTTTTTCATTAGCCGTTGAAGAAATTATATTAATCGAATTGATACAGTATGAATTTCCAGTTCGTAATAACATATTGAAATGATATTTTTAGACGAGTACTATATTTGCCTTTTTATTTTCTGATTTTTAACTTATCATTGATTTCATTAATATGTTCATCCGAACTTATGAACGAAAATAAATCTTAATTTTTAATTTTTAATCCAAAATTAATTATAATTTAAGATCAAATCATTAGTTAACCTTTTTTAAGAAGACGAATACTTCAACCTTCAATTCAACAGGTTAAGTTACTATGGTTTAATGTGTTCTATTGTTCTGTCTCTTGCCAAAAAATTTAAGATGTTGATATTTCATGGGAATTCAAATTAGATCATCATCGAGTTTAAAATACAAAAGGAAATATCAGTGTCACTTTTGGTATAAACTTTTTTTTTTCTTTTACCATTGCTTACTGTTTCCAAATTATTTGTGCCATCACTCCTTCGAATGCCAGTAAAGCTACAACCTAGCAAACAAGGACACAGTCAAGAAAAAGCATTTAGATTTTAGATTTAAGATTGGGAAAAATATATTATTTCTGTGATAAGTTGATATATAATTGAAATTGAAATTTGAAGATTATAAATTCGAAGAAATTTATGCACATAATGTCTTTTTTAGTAGGATAAATAATAAGATAGAGAAATTTAAAAGTAAACTAAGAATTTTAAAAAATTAGATTGAAAAAAAATGTTATAATATTAAGTAAAAATATTTTAGATTTTTTGTATATATAATGTATTTTAAATTTTTAGGTGAAGGCAGCTGAATGTTTGATATATGGTAACCAAATGTCCTAAATTTATAATGTTAAGATGATATGTTATAATATTAAGTAAAAATATTTTAGATTATATATATATATATATGATGTATTTTAAATTTTCGGGTGAAGGCAATGAAATGTTTGGTAAATAGCAGTCAAATGTCTTAACTACACATCATTTTCCAAGAGAATAAAGATATCCAAGTATCTTATGGGTATAATTCAAAAAAAAAAAAAAAGAGTATCTTATTGGGTAAAATGAGACTCGTGACTCGTCGAAGGATTCCTCCTCTGATGGACGAAAGGGGTGCAGCATGCTAAAAATGCTCAACCGTGCTGCGTTATGGCCCCATTGGGCCAAAGTCATCAGTGCAATTCTTCACGCAGGATAAAAAAACCTGCAAGCTTTACTGGTAGTATGGTAGTAAACATCTTTCAAGATGCTGATGATATAAGAGAAACTTGAATTCATTTATTTATTTGTTGATATTCATTTTGCATATACTCATTCGATAACGCAGACGAAAAAGGATTGGGGGTTTGAGATTTTGCTTAAAATGACCAACACCGCATTAAATTATATATATATATATATAATAGGTATAAATTTCAGACTGAAAATGACCCGGGGTGACAACACACTTGAGGCCATATTCTTCTGAGGCGTTTTGTCTGTCATTTGGCAATGACCCACAAAACCCATCAAAACAAACAGCTGCCCAAATTGGCACCATCTGATTCAGACATTATACCTAGCCACAACTGATTGCTGGGGCTTTGTAAAGCTCTTTGCGTCATGATTTCATTCAGTACAAGCTTTGACAATGTACTATTTTACATAGTATTTTCACAAAAAAATTATTTGATACCCTGGGCTCTAAATTCTGCCCAATTAGTGTTCTTTTTAGGTAACATTTATTACACAAAATTTCTGTTCAAACCACATGAAAGCCATCTCTTCAAATCCCCGAATGCCTCCACATTTCAAAATTTGTAAACCATTTGCTCAGTGTATCCAAGTTGCTTGAGTATGCCAGTTAGCTGCATGTCAAGCAAGGGTAATAATGATAAGTTAAGATAAAATTGGGGTAATAATTAAGAAAGAAGAAGAAAAAACAAAATGTCTTTAATACCTCTCCTTGTGAATAGTCTTTAGCCTTGCCACCAGATATGTGTTCCATCATCGCAGGTGGACCGCATACCTGATCAAACAGGGTAAAAATATGGAAAGTAAGTAGGCAAGGTATATGTCCTGTTTATTGCATATTCCCAAAATCTTGTCGCTGCATATAATCCAGATAATCTGATATGACAGGAGAGTTAAAAAATAGCTAGTACGTCGATTAATATTGATCAAGTGGATTGTTTGAGTGGGTACTTGGAACTTGCAAAATTAAGTCGTACGATTATGGCCATTTTCCAAAGCCATAACCTGGTCCTCAACAAGAAGGTATCAGAATGTCCTGCACAAGTCTAAAACTCTAAAATTCAAGCAACAGTGACTATCTGAATAGAGGTTCACTGAAGAGAATTGCAATAATGCACCAAAAGATCAAGCACATGCATGCCCATGAAAAAAGCCTATTTACAGGCAGCTTCTTGAGCCACTTAAATGGCATTCCTCAGGTAGGTCTTAGTCTCACGATACCTCCGGCTTAAGGAAGCAACAATGGAGAAAATAAAAGTTTGAGTGCATGTTTACAAGCATTTAGTCTTTTGTCCTTACAAATGAAGTCTGAAAAAACAGGCCTCTGCTTGTTGAAAATGATATAAGTTCTTCACCAAGACTGAGCAAGAAATGGCAAATAATGGGAACAAAAATGTATTTACTATTTCCTGAAGTTGAAGTAGTGTTAGAGAAAAAGTTGCCCTCCACTTTAGATAATACTTACCCCATACCTTGGCAAACAAAATAAAAGAAAAATGGTTGAGAAATAAGAAAGTGACTTACAAGGATAAGAGTATCTTCACCCGGACCAGGTAAGCCTTTTGTGATCATATCCTTTGAAATGTAACCAGCACCCCCCTTCCAATTTTTTGATGGATTGTCTACAGTGTAGAATACCTGGGGAAAAATGAAGAAACAAAAGGAAAGAAGCTAATTCTATTTGAACAAAATGTCTGTACAGCAACTATTTCATCGTGAAAGAATTGGTACCTTAAGATTTGGGTGGCTAGCAGCAAGTAGATCAAGCTTCTGCTTAAGCAATATATCATCTGGGGAGACATTGGCATAAAGCAGTGACACCTGTTGGAATTAAGTCCAAACCATGCACATATTTGATCTAAAATAAGCACTAAACAAATGACATTTGACAATAGGCATAAAATTATGGTCGCAAATTTAGTAATCAGATAACTGTACCTACCTGAGTGTTATCGTCAGGATTTTTCAGTATAGCATCGATCACCTGAAGCATTGGAGTTATGCCAGTCCCACCTGCAATCTGGAACAACAGCACATAATTGAGTGCAAATGGAGATCAGACTTTTCCGATAATCTTGGTAAACCTAATACAGCTACGATAATTACTATCCTGATTACTTAGCAGATGATTTGATTAAACATGCAGAAAGCATGTGTGTAGAAGTGATAATCGTAAAGAACAGAAAATATAGCATTGGATGAATTTTTGGCATTAATTATAGAGAACACAAAATATACCATTAGCCATATATTTGGCATCTGATTAAAAACAGAAGTATTAGACCCCAGCCAGTTACTCATATTAAATGAGTAAAAGTATTGAAACCTTGGTATAAAAAGCATGCATGAAAAATTAAATCTTTATATTGAGAAAAATATTAACAAGAAACCAAAAAAACAGCTCTAACCATGCCAATGTTTTTCTTCATATTGGGTGAGTATCTGAGCTTTTCAATGGGCCTGCATGAGATATATACATTCAGTTTAAAGGCGGCTTGTTGTGAGATCTCTATGAAAACTACCATATGTGAATACCTACCCTTTCACTTCAACTACATCACCTGGTTTTAAGCTAGCAAAATGCTGACTCATTTTTCCTTCTGGATACACCTGCAATGTTTATTTTTAAGTAGTGAATGAAGAAATTCTAAGGCATGGCATTGAAAATATGAGGCAACAACATCTCCAGAACTGTGAGAAAAAAGGAGGACAACAAGTTGAAGGCATTTATTGCTTCATACCTTTATTAACAAGTCAAAGTATCCCTTAGCATTGGGGTCTGATATAGGAGTATACCTGATGATTGAAGTTATTCCAATATGAATATATGAGCAACCAATATCTGTTAATTGCAGAACAAGGGTTGAAATATGATTCAACTTAATCTTTTGATTTCTGCCAATGAATTTGGTGAAGAAATAGGTATAGTAACTTTAGTTTCGTTGAGAAGAAGCATAAGAAAAATTAATTTTAAATCATGTCAGACTTGCACTCCACCAATGCTTCTCCACTAATCTGATTTAAAAGTTTTCAGCTATTTCCTTGGGTAATTAAAAAGGATTATTTTACTCAAACTCCAGAGAAGTTATAACATCCATCATATGAGTATTTAAAAAAAAGCAATCTCAGAGGAATTTCAATTAAGGAAAATAGATGCATATAATCCTTATATTTTGGGGTATTTACCTCTTTCTTATTTTGTAACCTTCTATTAATAGAAAATTATACAACATTACAGATTAGAAACCTTCATCTCTTTCGATCTTCATGAAGCAAGTCATAATCAAGACCTTATCTTAGAGGTATGGATAAAGCAAAGCATCAGAATTTATATACTCACACGCAGATGGCATTTATCACAATAAAAAAAGAAGGAAATGGAAATACATGAGATATCCAGTTTAAACCATGGAATACAAGTGAAATAACCTAAAAAATTTAAATCACTAACAAATCACCAATTTAGAATAATGGCCATGAAAAGGGAAGTCTAAATCAAACCATTTATGAGTTCAATATGTAGGCTTACGGTCTTATGACATATTTTGTTTTTCCTTCAGCATCTTCTCCTAATGGAGCCCTGTAGTGACAAGAATGCATCAAAATAGTGAATGTAGATGCAGAGTACTTCTAAATCTCATCTAATATGTCCTCTTAAATGCAAAATCCAAAATCTTTCACAAAAAAACCTTCTAATAAGCACCTCTAACTATAACAAGAGAACACACCTTGTAAGGATGC